GCTAATTGGGGTGGGAGAGTGCGGTTGTAACGGTCCCGTCTGTTCCAGGCCACGCGAAAGACGCCCTGGGCCTGGCGCACATGCAGGAGCAGACGCTGCAGCTGGAGCAACAGGCCAAAGTCAAGGTGGGTCGGGGCCGGCCCGGGTGGGGGGAGCTCCCGCCTGGGCTGCATTTGGCCCGTGTGGTCCGATGGTCTTATCCAGGCGCCCATGGGCCGCGTCCGTGTACGCCCCCCCCGCGTGTTTTCCAAAGAAATTCCTCCCTATCCTCACAGCAGGACGCTGGCAGCGCCCTCATCTCCCTGCTGTACCTGGGGCAAGGTGCAGAGCGCGTCTGATGGTCGGGGCCTTGTGCTCGGTCCTTGCGGCTGGGAGCTGTTGCCAAAGTTTTTAAGATTAAGTTGGACGAATCCTTGCCTGAAAGGGCTGGGCAGCCGGTTGGTTGGGTTGATTTGCTGCTGGGGCTTGAGGTGACTGACAGCAAGAGAATAGAATCATTTATAAGACAAGGGGGTGATGAGAACAAACAAAAGGGAACTAGGACACTGGCATAAAAATGAAGTTGTCTCCCCTACAAATGGTCCCTCGACCTAACTTGGTTTGCTAAATGCCTGTCCAATAGGCTGGTCTTGCAATGCTCCCACGGTGTCCAGGCTCTAACTCTGACAGGCCTTGGCAGCTGCTCTCCCTCTCTCGAACTCCTCCCCAAGGACGACCTCGTTTACACAGGGATGATCCTGCCTTGAGTAGGGACCAGATCAGTCGTGTTCAGCCTTTTTGCCTCACGGTCTGGTTGGGCAGGGCCCAATCCATCTGCAGGCTAGATCCTGCTGGTGGGCCTGATCCGGCTGCACAGAGGAAGATGGGGCCTGGCTGAGCCTCTATCTGTCTGCACAGATATTGGGAATTAGGCAGCAGGGGAGGGGTGGCTGGATGAGTTGTCATTGCTCCCCCACTGCCAAATTTTCCACCCCATGGTGAGCTCAGACAGCTGGATGCCATAGCTCGGTGGGCTGGATTTGGTTCACAAGGCTGCCAAGTGAGCACCCTTGGACTAGATCAGGGGCGGGCAATTATTTCGGGTGGAGGGCCACTTACTGTGTTTTGGTAAGCCATCAAGGGCCACATGACAGGCAGCCAGAAGCAGATAAATATTCATTTTCTAAACTTTTTAGGGATGGAATAGTCTATGGGGCCACATTTTGCCCACCCCTGGACTAGATGATCTGCTGAGGTCCCTTGCAGCTCTGCTACGATTCTGTGATTTTTGACTAGTATATGGTCTTAGCTACAGGGACAGTCGTTTATCCTTTCCTAGACTGTTATTTTACTGGTTTTGCATCACTTACCAGTGTACATGTGTGCGGTTTCAGCTCTCTCGACAGTTGCTTTAAAGTAGGAGACAGGCTGGACTCTTTAAAGAATTTATCGAGTCCGTGTTTGCTCTCTAGATGTCGCTGCAGATGGTAACTGTAGGTGCTGTTATGGTGGGATGTTGCTGTTTGATGCAGTGTTTATCTACCTGCCTCCTTATAACATAAAACTGATTGCGATGTGAGCCTCTGCTGTAGCAGTGCATGTCTAAGTCTGTGTTTTGCTGCATGTGATTGCTCCTGCAAGTTGCATGTTCAGGATGACGATTGTCATTTGCGGCCCTCTGGAGGCTCTTGCGTTGAGTTGGCCTTTGCTGACCTCTTTGCCCTCTTGCTGTAGGAATATGAGGCCGCTATAGAACAACTGAAGAATGAACAGATCCGGGTGCAAGGAGACGAGAGGAGAAAGACATTAAATGAAGAAACCAAACAAAATCAAGCGGTGAGGAAACCTGGAGAAGCCGGTTGGCACCAATATCTGGCTGGGTGCACCAGGTCAAAGGGGAGCACATAGTATTAGACATGAATAGGCTTATTCCATGACACCAGCTTTTTGTGCCTGGGACTTGCCACATCTCATGCATGGACATCTTTGTATAGAATCAGTCTTGTTCTGATAAAGATTAAATTTAGGCTTGGTGTTCTCAATTTTTAGCAATTTAGTGTGCTTTAACACACACACATGCCTTCATGCATATGTAGTGGCTGCTGCATGTGCTAGGGGTCATGCTGGTAAGGCTGTTTGGGGAGGGGAGGGTGGGGGGACTGGGCTGGTTGTTCCCAGGACCCTGGTGCTGCTGGCCCCTCACCCTACCCAGGTCCCAGCTGAGTCGGGGGCAAACTCCCTCAAGAGCCTGGTCTGGCCCAGCCTCTGTCGGAGTTTGGCTTCTGCCCTGGCTGGGACCTGGGCAAAGTGAGTGGCCGTGGCACCGGGCTCCCAGCACTACCAGCCCTGCCTCTTGACCCCCACTTCCTGGCACAGCCTTACTGGCATGGTTCCCAGCTCCTGCAGTGTGCGTGTGCACAGCACACCCTGTCCCAAGGTTTGGGGAGTTTTTTTGCGGGTTTTTTTTACATCTTTATGTAAATTTCAATGATTAGTGATGGAAATTTTTTTCCCATTGATCTGTGAATGTCTAGTAAAATTAATCCTGCCAAACCTAATTAATTGCTTGGATGTTTGCAGCAGAGGCTCAAACAGGCAGGAGAATAGTGCAAGTTGCACCATTCCTGAAGGGCTACTGGGAATTGATGCAAAGCATTCTGGGATGCATCCTTGCTTGTGGTAGGTGGAGTTGTGGACATAAAAAGGCAATGTTAGAGAGGCAATGAATGATCTTTTATCTCTCTCTTCCTGCCCCCCCTCCCCCTTTTCTGAATAAAGAGAGCCCAGTACCAAGACAAGTTGGCACGGCAGCGCTATGAAGATCAGTTGCGACAACAGGTAAGATATGCCATGTTGTGAGGTGGCCAGGAACTAAACCAGTCAGCATGACTTTCCTCCCCCAGGCGTAGTGGTGCCAACCTTGGCCCCATCCTGATAGCTGTTTTACTGATGCCAGGCACTTCTGTGTGGTGTTTCCCACATTTCTGCTCACCCTGTAGGATCCTTGCTTTCCCAGCCTGGTGGATCAAAATGTGTCCCCAAGAGGGATAGGGCACATAAGCCAGAAATACATGGAGAATCTTGAGTTTGTTCTAGAGCTCTTTTTTGGAGAAACCCCACTTTGTTCAAAAGCACTGCTTTCTTGGTGGCCTTTGGGAAGTATAAGTCTGCACGTGTACTGGGGTTATAGGAGATCTTCAAACCACTTGGACCAGAGCTGCAGAGTTTTCTGTGCTGTCATTCAAACCTAACACTCCTTCCGGTGTGGTCTGTTCTTAGCAACTCCTTAATGAAGAGAACTTGAGGAAACAGGAGGAATCTGTGCAGAAGCAGGAAGCCATGAGGCGAGGTAAGGTCCCATATTAGTTCCCCAGGGTTAGGAACCCCGTGGTTGTGCTGTGAGTGGGCTGAGGTGCCTTTGGGGCATGCTAGGCCATGTGGGACATGGAGCACTCACGAATGTCATGTCTGCAAGGAGCAGTTAATAAACTCTACCTCTTGTGTAATGCCCAGACCTTTTTTGGGGAAAAGCTGAACTGCTGCACATGAAGGCACTCTGCTGTGGTCCCCCGTGGCTGGGCACTTCAGTACTCCAGCTGCTCTCTTCCTTTGAGATTGAACAGGATTGCAACATACCTGGCATGTGGGCAGGGTTTCACCATTTTCCCCCTTTGTTTCTCTGCTTTTAAAGCCACCGTGGAGCGGGAGATGGAGCTGCGGCATAAGAATGAGATGCTGCGCATTGAGGCAGAGGCCCACGCCCGTGCCAAAGCTGAGCGTGAGAACGCAGATCTCATCCGAGAGCAGATCCGCCTCAAGGCAGCTGAGCATCGCCAGACTGTGCTGGAATCCCTCAAGTATGTGCAAAGCCCCTGTGGGTATCTGGTCACCTTGCTGCTTTCTCAGACAGCCCTGTCCCATGGGGCACATAGCAATCCCCAATGGCTTGTATCCATGAGCTCCAAGGGAAAGGTAGAGTTAGTGCAGGTATTCCCATCCTTCTCCAGCCCAGTTGGGGGCCCAGCCTTTCTGGCAGACATGCCACAAATTTTTCCTAGTGCCACTCTGATCCTCTGCTCCTGACCTGTTTTGCTGCTCAGCTTTCTACCCTGGCCCTGTGTTTTGTGCCTTGTCTGCTGCTGCTCTTTCTGCTCCTTCCATGATTTGCCACATGCCACACATGCAGACCGTCTGTGCCACAGGTTGGTCGCCCATGCTGAGGAATGACTGTTTCTTCTCTACCCTGTGTAACTGCAGGAGCAATGAGGCCCTTATCATGTTGACTCAGGACATTTATGTTCTAGTTTAAGTTTTTCAGCAGGTGTGACCTTAATGTAGTCATTTTAGGGTGAAAGCTTGGCTCTTTGGCAAAACTCTAATGGATGCCAATGGAACCAGAGTTCACCTTTCATACCCCTGAATCCATGAAACTACAGTAAATTGTGTCTGTCCTATAAAAGAGTGTTGTGAGCTTTAATTCATTAATTTTCAAGGCCTCTGGGACTCTTGTTGGCTGGAAAGTGCTCTAGAATGGCAAAGAAGTATTATTACCATTCTACACTAATCATGTATCAAAAATAAATTGATGCTGGCTTTGTTCCAGGTGCTCTTCTGGATTTAATCCCAGATCAGCTTTAGACATCAGACAATTATAAATATATTTGCCCTGCCTGGGCATGTTTGGGTTCCCAGGTGAGCTCTCAATTAGCTTTGCCTGGTTCTCAGGAAGGTCATTATGGAGACTGAAATATTCTTGCAAATTGCTTGCTCCTTAAAAATTCCCTCTCTCCTTCCCACCCTCTGCTTATGTTGCTGCTCTCCCCTTACAGGACAGCTGGTACGTTGTTTGGGGAAGGATTTCGTGCCTTTGTAACAGACTGGGACAAAGTGACAGCCACGGTAAGCTGGGGACGTATTTGTCTCTTGGGAAGTAGGTAGGGTTCCTTCCAACTTTACGTTGTGCTTTTTTCCCTGTGGGTTTGTCCACATGTGGGAGTTAGTGCAGATCGAGCTAGGAAGTGAGTCTTTGTCTGCAAGCTACTGCACACTAACTTTCTGTGCTGATGTTTATAGTCTTCCATGAGAGTTCAGTCCACCAAAGCATTTTTATTTTGGATTAAGTGCATCTACATGAGGGGTCCTGAATTTTTGCAGCCGACCTTTCTGTACACTAACTTCCTCATTTAGATGAGCCCTTTGTCTTTGAAAACGTAAAAAGTTCTGAGTGAGACTGACTAAAAGCTGAATCTTCTAACACATTAATTTGATGCTGTTCTTATGCATTAACAGAAGGTGAATGCTAATTGTAACCTTTCTCTTTCCTCATATGGAGCAGATACAGTGATTTTATTCCCCCCCCCAGTTCAATTTGTGTGCTTGTCAGCACTCTGTGTGTAATCAGTTTCTCTCTTTCTCTTGATTTCCTCTTCAGCCATTAGGGTCCATTTTTGTCCAACAACTGCTGAAAGAGAGAATCCTTTAAAAAAAATGAGAAAACATGGCTGTTAAGCCAGAAAAAACTGATGGGTGATCAGTGAAACTAACTCCTTTCTCTGAAATGGGTTAAGCAACAAGAGGGTTTTTCTTTTAGCTTTTTCTTTAGTTCAAGGCAACAGGGATATTTTTGTCCTTCACTAACAACAAAGCCTCAGTTTCATCTTATGATGGCAGCCCAGATATCCAAACTTATTTTGACAGAAATGGATTTTAAATTTCGCTGTTTTAGGTGTTTATGTGAATTTTGGTGGTGTCTTTCTCTGGGTTATTTGTTAGGTCACTTGTTAGGGGGCAGGTTTTGAAACTGTGAAGTCAGTTTTCAAACTATTGCCCTTTTGTGTAGTTTTCAGTGACTCGGACTATAGAGCTTCCACCTTTTCCTTTGAGACTGTTCCACCTTTGAACTGATCTGCTTTCAGTATGGTTCCAATATTCCACCTCAGTTCCACTCCCCCCAGTTTCAGTCTGTTAATAGCTAATCATACCATGCTTGGGAGGTGTGATCAGCACATAAATGCCAGGTGTTCCTCACTAGAAAGACAGTGTCCTCTCATTAGGATGTGAACTGGGGAGTAACTGGTGAGGAAGAGGAGGGGTTTCTCTCCTCTGCTTCATACAATACAGATGGAAATGTTAGATCTTTAAAAAAGTCACTGTTAAGTACCTGCCAGTGGCTTTTTTGCTCCTCTTCCCCTTTTATCATTACTGCCTGATTTTTTTGCAGCCACCCTTGCTCTCCTGAAAAAAATGCTTGCTAGTTTTGTACTGCCCTAGAGAATTTCCTGCCTGCTTCTCACTTCTTTCAGATGGGTTTAGAAAGTCAGGTGTAGGATAAAAGTAGCCAGTGACCTAATCTAAAACCTGGTGGAGTCTGAATAGGAACATTACTGTTGACTTCAGAAGGCTTTGGATCAGTTGGGTCTGTCAGTACCTAGGAGAATATAATACGTTGGCTGTTGGAATTGGTTTTTTGGTTTTCCTTCAATGTGTTTCGTCCTTCAGAAACAGCCCCTGTGTTAAAGTAGGGCTGTATAAGCACAGACGTGAGTGAACAAGCAGTATGTCTGCAGAAACTCTCAGCCATGAAAATACCAGTGATGGAAACCAGGGTTTCCACCTGTTGGCCTTCATGCATCTCTTATATGCATCAGTTGCTAGCAGTATAAACTTTTGGCAGCAAGCACTTGTAGATGGGATTAGAGAATGAAGCACACAGCATGGTTTAGATGGCTTGAAATGGATGTCTCTTCAACAGATGGTGAGTTTGGATAATCAAGGTTTCAGTGCTGCAGTGGTTTTATACGTGTCACAGTTGTCTGCACCTATTCCTCATGGCAGAAGGAAATTGTGATATTAAGCTAAAGTTCCTGCCTCAGTTTCCTTAGGTAATTTTAATTTTAAAAAGAACATAAGAATTGCCGTTTAGTGGATCAGACCCAAGGTCCGTCTTGCCAAGTATCCTGTATCACACAGTGACGGAGAATGGATGCTGAAAGAGAGGGAACTGGGTATGACCAGAGAGCTTAACACATGTTGTTAATCTGTGTTGTTTCCTAGTCTGTTCAGCCAGAGGTGCTGTGGTGGTTGCAAATGGTCCTTTAGCCCTTGTGCGGTGTAGAGGCGTGTGGGGAACGCTAGGTGGCATTGCTGATGCGAACAGCAGAGAACCGCCTAAATGCAGCAGTGTTGGCTCAGAAGCAGCTTTATTCCAGCACTGCTGTTGGCATAGCTCTAGTCGGATGTCACGCTTCCCCTTTCAGACCTCTCATTTCAGTGATCTTTATTGCTTGGCTGCTGGGGTGAGAGAGGTGTAAAATTGGCAATAAACTCTCGGTCCGGGGAATTGACTTTTTTTCTTTCAGTCTTTGCCCTAAGACTTAATGGCTTCAGCTGTTTGTCATTTAACCCAAATGACTTCTTAACTTTAAAGATTAAAGGAGCAGCTGAGGCTTTTGTTTCTCTGCTGCATGGAGCCATTATGGAAGTATAAGGAGTTGAGAGATGCTGCAGTTCACCCCCATCTTCTCTGCTCTGAAGTGCATGTATGTAGCTATCTGTCAGAGGCTGTGTGGCCCTGCAGCCACTATTGTTAGACCCCAGGCTGCAGATTTGCAGAGAAATTGCTGAAGCAGCCCTGTGTTTCTTCGAAGGATTCTTACCATGCAGATTGGAGCTTGTTCTTGCCCGTGTGTAGATGACGCGCATTGCTGCTGCTGTTGATCTTGGAGAGTCATCTGCTGCGGCTTGCACAGGAGCTGTTTTCAAGAGCTGGGCTGATGTACGCAGTGCATCACAGGGAGGGTTGAGCCCTTGGTGCTGCATGCATGGCAGCTCATTTTGCAAGGGATCTGCATACTCAAGTTCCCAAGGAGACCTCGGCATATCCACACAAATGTATTAATAAGCGGAGTTGGTTTCTTTGCAGCTGCTGTGCAGAGGCAATTAGCACGAGCTGTGAAATGAGAAATCCTACATTTATTTTGATGCTCCTCACTTGTTCTGGACTGTCAGGCCTTGATATTGCAGCATTCTGGGAATAGACTGGAACTTCCCTTGTGCCTCTTGCAGCCTCTGCGGTGCCAAGAAAAAGTCATTAATAGGCCTGATCCAAAGCCCATGGAAATGGTTGGAAAGACTCCTGTTTTCTTCATTATGTTTTGCATCAGTTTTTAAGCACTCAGCACATGGAATTCCTTTGGCTAGTGTGTGTGCCTTAATAGGATCCTGTGGGTCAAACCTTTTGCCCAGATGCCCTTCCTCATGTGTTGTGCGCCTTGGAGCTGAGGTCAGTTTAGTTATTAAAGCTATCACAGGTGCTGTTTACTTGCCCTGTGCCAAGGCAGGTGACTCTGGGGTTCCCTGCAGTATCACTCTTGTCATGCTTGGGTGATGTTTCCCATGGGAGTGAAAAGATAGTCTTCACTGATGCATTTACATCTTTGTGCTTGCTGTTTTCATTCTCACCTACACAAATACCTCTTTAAACCTTCCACTCCTCCCTTTTCCTGTTTTAATGTCTTCTCTGGATATTGTAAAAAGTGAACATTGGATGCGGCTGCAGCTTTTTCCTGCATCTCTTCAGACACTTTTGCCTAATGTTAGCCGATTATCTAGAAGAAATTAACACTGGGGTCCAAGAACTGAGGCTGGACTTGGCTGAGCTGAGGGTTTACTGTTGCTAAGTGAGCTTACAGATCTCTTTCTTGCTCCCCCCCACTTTCATTGTGGGCTTGCAAAACCTAACCAATACATCCATCATGTTATTTATGAAACGCATCTGGGCTGCGCTTTAGGCAAAGACCCAGTTTTGTGTAAAACCCACATGCCAGTTTGATTAGGCTGCTGTCCATCTCACGTACTTCCTCACCCAGACAGCCAGGGCTAAACTGCCATCCAGATTCCATCTCCTTTGCTCGTGGCCTACTTTGAGGCTTTGGGCAAACTGATTATCAACACACTCTGGCTCTCTGGGATAAGTTCAGGCCTCAAGGGCTCTCTGCTCAAGAGATCCAGCTGCTATCCTCCCCATCTTAAAATGGGAACTGGGACTGTTGGCAGCGCCACCTTGGCAGGTTCCCCACTTGCACAGAGTAAGTGGTGATAGGGAAATAAAAATGTGTCGCACCTCTGTTGTGAGCTTAGGTGCTGCATGCTCGTGTGTTTATAAGAATTTGATAGCTACCACTTTGTTCCTTCTCTTCCTTCTACATGCATGTTGGCTGGGTTAGTGAATCCTAAAAGTACCAAGTTGCCACGTGGAGCAAGTCTGTTCAGTGACCTGATTTCATAACTAACTGAAAAAGGCATTAATAACCCACTTTCCCTGCCGAGCTTCTTGCTAGGTCTGCTCTTCTTCCTTCCTGGCAGGCGGGTGCTGTCTCTGCGGGGAGCAGTCTAGGCCTGTCAGGGACTCTTGGGGACTCGCAGGAGATGCAGCATGAAAGTTAGTTCTAATTTGCCATCTTTAAGCTTCAGCTTCCCAAGGCTACTGAGCTGTTCTTCACGCTCCCTCCAGCATGAGCTTGCTGCCTTGCTCAGGGCCATAACGATATTCAGGAGCCATTATTCTCCCTCCCACTACAGTCTCTGGCCCAGCGGGTCACTGTAGAAGATCACTGTATACCTTATAGGGATGCACTCAGTCCCTTTAAGGTTGGAGTTTTGCCCCATCTAAAGTCTTTGCTTTGTTCCTGTGCTAATCAAACAGCCCATCTCACTGTAGCTATTGCTCTTATGAGTGTGCTCTGAAGGCCTGGTGAAGGAGCCCTGCTCTTCATCCTTTTATTTTTGTTCTGCGTGATTCCCAGCCATTTTTCCTCTTCTCCCTCAAAAGCCCTGGCAGAAGGGTCTAATAGCTGTAACGATGCAGTTGTAGGATGCAGCCTGTGGGGAGATTTGTGGAG